GGGGGGGGGGGGGGGGGGGGGGGGGGGGGGGGGGGGGGGGGGGGGGGGGGGGGGGGGGGGGGGGGGGGGGGGGGGGGGGGGTACGCAGGGATACATAGCGCGTGGTCTTCGCTCCAACAAAGTGCATTGCTCCTCCTTACCTCGTTCTGCAAGAGATGCGAGGAATCAACCTCTGCTATTTCCAACCATCACCGGTTGTGTAGCAGGCCGGACGGGTCACCGCCATGACGTCGAATTCTTGACGAAATATCGTAGACCAACCACCCCTCGATGCGACTGCGCATTGAACCGCCCCCCCCCAAAGTCTCCGATTACACCCCGACAAACCCTCCGACACGTGCATTCAGTTTGTTGGTAAACAACAATTAAACGAACAACTTCCTCTAAGATTAGCATTAACTGTTACCACGCAACAAGTATCATGAAGCACCTGATCGGCCGCCTGCTCTCCGTCCGACTTGAGGAAAGGCCTGGCGCGGACGTACACCCGCACGCTGCCCGTCAGGTCCAGGATGGCGTTGTGCATGCGGCGGCGCTCCTCCTCCCCCTCCTCCACCTGCTTCTCGAGCACTCTGGTGCGCTCCAGGGAGGCCTCCAGCCGAGACCTCAGGCTCGACAGCTCCTGCTGCCTGATGCGAGCCGCCTCCGACGAGAGTGCGGCGTCTGATAGTGCCACCGCCGATCCCGTTTCCGCTGGAAGGCGGGGGGGGGGCAAGGGCGACGATAAAGACGAGAGGGGTTTGAATAAGAACAATATGCTACGCAGGGTTGGTTCGGGATTTCTTTCGCCAAGCAAGGAGACGAAAAGTTGAGGAAACTTCGTTGTTCGGATCAACAAGAACAGTGCACTGTGTGGTAGAAGCGCCCTCTCCCGCTCCTCGATGCGAGCCGCCCACTCCTCAAACTCCTTTAGAGCGTGGGTAAGGATAGTGCCGTATTTTAAAGCACGTCTCGCGCATGGGGTCAGATCGATTCTGCGACGGCGGTCATGGTGTATTGTCCAATAACCAATAACCACATGGAGTACTGTGTTGCTGCTGCGCCGTGGAGAGGAAACGAAAAAAAAAAGAAACATGCAGGTGAAACGACTGGAGGGAAACCTAGGTCCTACTGTACGATGTGGACACACGGAAATGAATACCGGAAAAATAAGCGCTGAAGGGGAGATACAGTATCAGAAACTGCGGGATTCACCCTCCCCCTCCTGCCCCCTGCATTCCATACAGCCGCACATCCATTCTGCGGCGTTCAGGGCCTGCCCTGCCCGTACAACACACGCTACACACGACCCCCAATATTCAAAAGCTCGCGACTAGACCCATGGCTGCGGGTTGTCATGTGTAGTGTCCCTTGTTTCCCATTGGGTATTAGCCTCGCGCGACGAATGAAGGTACTGGCGGCATCAACACACCTTGCGCTGTCACCATGGCCCGGCCGCCGGTGTCATTCGTCGGGCTTAGCTCGGACATGGAGGCCGCCACCACCCGATCGGCCTGGCTGCAGATCGTCTCCTGAAGCCTGTCCATGAAGGAGAAAAAAAGAAAAGGCAGCAAAGTCAGCGACCCCAAGCGACAGAGAGCACGAATGACCAAAAAACGCTGAGACGGGTATCCATTCAGCGGGAGGAGATAGGGCAAACATTCTAAGGAATAATAAGCCGTTGTTGTAGCAACGAAGCAGACTATTAAACGCCAACGAAAGCGATCGTCGATGGCATGTCCGACCGAACAGAACATACCCAGAGAGATGCCAAGACAAGCAGGGGCCGTAGCGCCTACACTGGTCTGGTGAAGTTTGCCTGCACTCAATTACTGCTGTAACGCGTACGATGAGCGCTTGCCACACGCCGCAAGAAATATTGGTGCGCCATCTTCGCGATGATTGGCGAACAATGGGATGTCGGCCAAGTGTCGGTATGCCGGCGCGATGGATCGGCGCATGGTCTACCACCACTGCTCCTCCTGGACACCTAGCTCTGTCTTTCGAGACTCACTGTGTGAAACTGGCACTTACGGTTGACTGTTGTGTTCCCATGGATTGGTCTCCTTCCCCTTTTCTTCTCAACATACAGTACCATGGTCAATATGCTATACTGCACCGTGGATCCGCGTACACGTGACAAGTCTAGTGTCGCCAAGTTGAAAAAGAAAAGTTTGCACGTGTACAATAAAAAACGACGGCAGAGTCTCACCGCTGCATTTCCATTCTCAAGTTGGAGATGTCGTCCCCAGCTTTGCGCTCCTTCTCCTCCAGCTGTTTTCTCGCCCTGAGCGCAGACGTACACATAGGCAATCAGACAGGCAGGCAGCTTCAGCACGGGAAAAGCCGACTCTTCCAAAGATGCAAGACAGCTTCCAGCAGTGTTTTATAAACCTCGAGTAAAACTGCGTGGAAAGCTTCCGTAAACACTGTAAACTCGAGTTTTGATCGGAGTGCAACCACCCCAACACCTAACCCCACAATGTAGAGTGGGTTATGCCCTTGTCGATGCTTGTGCGGGAGAGAGTGCTCATGGTTTCACCACAGCAGCAGCAATTTTTCACCAACAACACATATCCTTGCCCCTCCCCCCACACTTACCCCGCCTTCTGCTGAGCGAGCTCTGTCTGCACAGCCGTGAGCTGAGCCGACGTGGCCGCGAGCTCCGACTTGAGAACCTCCAGCTGAGTCTCCGAGAAACGAAGGCCTTCCTCAGCGGTGAGGACGCGGGATGCCACCTTGATGAACAATCACGGGAAACATCAGAACAAAAACAATTACACACATAGGTCAGGATACGCGATGCCACCTTGATGAACAATAAACAAGCAACACACCAGAAAAATGAAACCCATACATCATTGCTCAGGACACGCGAGAACACCCTGATGAAGCATAACGGGAAACGCATCAGAACAAAACACATACTTTACACACATCATTGCTCAGGACACGCGAGGCCACCTTGATGAAAACACACATGAAACACATGCCGTAAGAAGCAACACGCAAAAACGGTTCCTCAGGTCGACGCTATAAACAAGCACGCACATCCGCACACACATGAAGGCGCGCATGAGTTCTACGAAACCTCAACAACAACAACAACAACAACAACAACAACAAAACCTCGTCCACGAAGTCGACGAGATGCTTGCTGTAGGCAAGAGGAAAAAGGACGACTAGAGCGAAGAAAATAAAGTACGAGCACAAGAACAAGCCAGCGGCAAACACAAACCAACCAGAACGACACCGCGCTTGAACACGCAGAACGGTGCACAGAACTGCTAAACGTCCAAGTCTTGAGTTTATCATTCTAGTCTTTGTGCTGTTTACTTAGTCCCCGCAAAGGCTTGCATCCTATCAATGGAAATGGCGTCACCTCCCTTCAAAAATAAGCCCCCGCACTTGCGCTCATCAAGAAATACCATCGAAAAAAAAGTATCGCATAGAGATCTGCTTTCGACCAATGGTATTTTTTTTTCTTGACTTCAAATCAGCGCTCAAGGCATGTGTGCCGTTTACTCCAACCCGTGGCCGCACAGAAGGTTTTCTCTCCCTGAGGCCCCCTACTCACCTTTCCTGCATTATCTACTTTGCCTTCGATTAATAATGAGAGCGGAGTGCTGTACTCTCTTCCCTCAGTGTACACACGAACTAGCGCTTTCCACCCACGCCAGAAGCGGAAGCGAGAGGATAAACTCACCTTGCAAGAAAAGCTCGCTTACGCCGGGGTTCAAACCTCTGACCTTGGCCACTAGAAGGCTTTCGAAGGTACCAACTACACTTCGGGGAAACCAATGGTATGCCATCACCTTTTCTGCCTCGATGAGCCGGAACTTGAGAGAGCTGTTCTCGGACTGGATGGGCATCAACCCTGCCTCAAGCTCGGTTTTTTCCTTACCCAAGTTCACCACCTTGTTAGACCGAAGGGAAAACGACACAGGCAGATGGGTACATCGGGACACGTAGGTGCAGCGGAACGTCATCTACAAACGACACGCAGCGCAAACGTGCGAGTTTGTGGGCCAAAAAGCGGTAACACCAAAGCCCCCGATAGATTCAACAACGCTTTCCGAGTAGACTAATAGCGTCAGGTAAAGAAAACAAAAAACGTGTATAGGCATAAACAGACTCTAAATAAGCCAAATATCTAGCCGTGTTTATTTTCTACCCACTGTTAAGACTTCATCATATCCCCTTCGACTGCTGTGGTATTATTGTAGTATCTCGAGCGGGTAGTCTTTCTATACAATCATGTATACTTCCCAAGAAACGCCAGCACCGAACGCGTAAGAAGCGGGTGGATATCATGTCTTCCGGCTTTCAAGACAGGTGTCGTCATGACCTCCCTCGCTTTGTTCGTACCGCCTCAATACGAGTGCGTGTAAAAACCAACTATTACATGAAAACGCATGGTGCACAACAATGACATGGGTACTGAGTTTTTGTGGCTCACCCCTCCTCCCTCTACAAATTTGTCCCGCAATTAAGAAACGTCAATATCGGGTCGAGCCTCCATCCCTTACTTTGGGTCGAAGGACCGGCCCAAGCCATCCATTTTCATAAATGGCATTTCTTATTCCTTTGACTGTGTCGCATCCATGCTCCCGATTTCTCATTCCTACGTTGTATTTTCATATTGCTGTCCTTTGATCTCTGAGGACAATCCACTTCATCAAGCCCTCAAGAGAGGCGGCGTAGAGTGTCATCAACCCGTACTACAGCGGAGAGTGCGTGGTTGTCCGCGATGTGTGGCAGTACCACAGCAGTAGCACAGCGAACAGCAGGGACAGGGGGGGCGGGGGGCACGAAAAAAAAACACTCCTCCTGCTGCCCCCTATAAAACAAAAATGCACTTCTGTTCAGCTAGGTAAGTAAGGGGGTAGGAGCACCGGAGATTTCTGGTGTCATGGGTGTGTCGCACCATCATGTTTCTTATTACGACGTTTCCTACGTTGTGGCCGCGATTGAGCTATGTTTCGCAGCCCTTTCTTCATATTTTTCGTAAAAACTTGAGCCTTTTTTTCTAAACAGAATTTTTCTTAACTGCGAGCGCTACCTGTATACCGCCTTGCCTGCTGAAATGCCACCAGCCATCGAGAGAGGTAAGCTCAAAACATGCAACCCTACGCAAGGCAGTGCCATGTAAGGTAGGTCGAAATAATGTAGGCCTACAGTTGTCGGGCTGCAATGCGAGCCGAAAGTGACCAAAGCCACCTGAGCCACACAAGGTCTTGATACACCCCCGAAAGCATCCCTCTCACGCGTGCGTACTCTTGATACCATCAAAACTCAAAACAAGACGCCAAGTCTGCCCACCTTTGCCTCGGCTTGGTCTAGGGCGTTCTCGAGACGCGTCTTCTCCCTGTCAGCCGCCACCGTCCTCTGCCAGAAGCTGGCCGCCGTCTTGCTCTCCCTCTGCTCGATCTCCCCCCTCAGCCGCCGGAGCTCCGCGTCCAGCGAGTGCCTCTCCTCTTCCATCTCGGACTTGCGCCTCTCCACCTCGCGGCACCTGTCCTCCGCGACCCTCATTCTCCTCAGGTTCGCCTCCGACCGCGACACGAGCTCGCGCCGCTCCGACTCCCACGCTCTCTCCTTCGCCTGCAGCCTCTCCTCGAGGGGCGCCAGGGCCAGCGTGAGGTTGACCTGATATGGAGTTGTTTCGTTTCGTGTCATGCCGTCGTTCGTTATCGTCGTAGTAGTTGTTGTTGTTGCTTGTGTTTGACGCATCAGCCGGGGTCACACCGTAGGCAGGTCCAACAGGAAGGATCTATAGAAGCCGAAACAAACCAGTCAAATCTAGACTAGTAAGCCAAATGGTTTGGTTTCGGCTTCCATATTCATTCATGGTTTCTCAGAGTTTTTTTAAAAGCCAGTTGAAACAAGTGCAGGTATCTAGTTTGTGCTTTTGCCGTGTTTGCTTGGGAGAGAGTTGTCCGGGGTACAGACCCCGCAAACCTCTATCAGTCCATTTAATCCCGACACGACACTGTGAACCTGTCGGCGCATACACCACCCACGCTCCCGCCACACCGAACTCGCATCCCAACCGTAACCTCAACGCATCGACCGACGGATCCTCCCCGTTCCAAACCTCCCCCCCCTTCCTCCCCTTTACTTTGTTCAATGGCTTCTATCTTGCCTTCTCCTGCTCCAGCGTGGACGTCCTCCCCTGAAGCTCCTTCAGCCGGTCCCGAACCTCGACCGAGAAACCGTTGTCGCCCGCCGGCATCTGCCCGCCGATGGCCCCGATGGCGCAGCCATGCTGGTGGTGGCACCCGCAGGCGGCGGAGGTCACCGTGACCGACGACTCTTCGCTCACCTCCTCCGATACCACGGAGCTCGGCTGGATGCACATTTGTGTGCCATCAAAACGTGTATTCCGGAGGGTGTGCAGGGGGGGGGGGAGGGGGGGTGTACTCATAGTCGTGCATGCCGTAGTCGTTAGACCATTGACCTCGCATCCCTACAAAGCCGGGACGGAGCATGCCGGGTTCTCACCGGACCAGGCTCTCACATCACCAAGCGCGAAGCGCCGTGAGATATTCGGCGAGTCGCATGAAGGGTGAGCTGCATCCTGCTAAGGGTGTTCGGCATCTTGTGCTTACTTCCTTGCGTACGGATGACAGCTGCGTATGAA